ACACACACACACACACACACACACACACACACACACACACACACACAAGAAATGGAAGAGGAGGAGGGTAGGTGCGATGGAGATGGGGAGGAGAGTGAGGGTATGAAGGGCCAGATACAAGTGTTTTAACACTTAAACACAACAACCTGAGACTAGTGTTGGGGAGTTGGTGGGTCGTAGGGTGACAGAGACAGGGAAAAGGAAAGAGAGAAAGAGGGAGAGATCATCAGACCGATATTTAGAGAAAGAGAGAAATAGTGCAACAAAGATAAGTAAAGCGAGAGACCTCAGTATGGTAGAAAGAAAGAGGGAGGGCAGAAAAAGACGAGAGGAGGAGAGGGATATAGGATGGGGGAGACTGGAGTTAAGGAAGGGAGGAGGGAGGTGAGAGCAATGAAGAGAAGATTTGAGAGGAAGAATTGAGACGGAGGAGCAGTAGTGCTTTCATGAGTACGGCTGTGGAACTCCATATCCTGGTCTGTAGATGGGTCTCCCTTTTGGCGACTGAGAATTGGAATACGCGGGCCCGGCTGGGTAGCTGTAGCCGCCGTAGCTGTAGGAGGCCGGGTAGGGCGCGGGGCCACTCTGGGGGTGGCTCGGGGTGTACTGGCCGAATGCTGAGCCCGGGTGTGGGGCAGGGAAGGAGGGCGGGGTCGGGTAAGGGCAGGCGGATGAAGCCGGAGGCCCGAAAGCGGGCCTGGGGCCGGAGTAGCTCCCTGCTGGGGTGAAAGGTGAGCCGGGACCTGGGTACGGAGGGAACTGTGACGGGGTGTTGGCCGGGCCGGAGCCTGCTGCCGCTGCAGGGTGGTTGGGTGGGGAGACGGGGTACGGGCTATAGGGGAGACCGGAGGGGCCCCCTGCCGACGAGGTGGTCGGCTGCGAGGGGTTTTGGTAGCTGGAGGACTGAGCTGTGGAGTTTGGCTGCTGCGGATTTGTCGCCGTTGCCGTTGTTGTCTGTTGATTCCATGGTGAGGGGGTGGCAGCGGGGTCTTGGCTGATGCCTGCTGATGGTGTCATGGTGTTGGGATTGCCCTCGCTCCTCTGTCGTAGGATCTCCTGGAGTTTCTCTATCCGCACCCGTCTTTTGTGAGCGAGGGATCGCAGGGAGAGGAAGCGATCAAGGAAGGGGTCCAATGGCAGAGAGCCCTCCAGAAACTCATCGGCTAGAGCCTGCAGACAGAGACACACAACCGGGGTTTGAGCAGATCAAACTAGTACTAAACTCTAGAGATGGTCTACTTTGTATCTGTGCGTGTGATTGCATCATCAGGCTGTTTGTACAAGAATTTAGTGTTTAGGTGAATGTTTTTTGAAAACTTGTAAGCCATTGTTTTACTGCTTAAAGAGCTACCGTCACAAATAAAATAAAATTCTCTGGGAAACATCATTCCACAGTGTGTGTGTGTGTGTGTGTGTGTGTGTTTAACAGTTCTGACCTCCGACTCTGCCTCTGTTTTGCTGCCCTCTGTCTGTAGTCTGGAGAACAAAGCCTCTGGGGACACCTGACCCACCATCCCATCTGAAGACAAGGAGAGCGTTAATGAGGGAGACAGACATACCGTTCCGAGACATAGACATATATACATACATACATACATACATACATACATACATACATACATACATACATACATACAGTTGTGTGAAAAAGTGTTTGCCCCCTTCCTGATTTCTTATTTTTTTGCATGTTTGTCACACTTAAATGTTTCAGATCATCAAACAAATTTAAATATTAGACAAAGATAACACAAGTAAACACAAAATGCAGTTTTTAAATGAAGGTTTTTATTATTAAGGGGAAAAAAAAATCCAAACCTACATGGCCCTGTGTGAAAAAGTGATTGCCCCCTAAACCTAATAACTGGTCGGGCCACCCTTAGCAGCATCAACTGCAATCAAGCGTTTGCGATAACTGGCAATGAGTCTTTTACAGCACTGTAGAGGAATTTTGGCCCACTCATCTTTGCAGAATTGTTGTAATTCAGCCACATTGGAGGGTTTTCGAGCATGAACCGCCTTTTTAAGGTCATGCCACAGCATCTCAATCGGATTCAGGTCGGGACTTTGACTAGGCCACTCCAAAGTCTTCATTTTGTTTTTCTTAAGCCATTCAGAGGTGGACTTGCTGGTGTGTTTTGGATCATTGTCCTGCTGCAGAACCCAAGTGCGCTTCAGCTTGAGGTCACGAACAGATGGCCGGACATTCTCCTTCAGGATTTGTTGGTAGACAGCAGAATTCATGGTTCCATTTACCACAGCAAGTCTTCCAGGTCCTGAAGCAGCAAAACAGCCCCAGACCATCACACTACCACCACCATATTTTACTGTTGGTATGATGTTCCTTTTCTGAAATGCCGTGTTACTTTTACGCCAGATGTAATGGGACATACATACATACATATATACATATATACATACATACACACATACATATATACATATATACATACATACATACATACATATATATACATATATACATACATACATATATATACATATATACATACATACATACATACATACATACATATATATACATATATACATACATACATATATATACATATATACATACATACATATATATACATATATACATACATACATA